TGTTTTATCAAGAGTTAACTGGTAACTATAGGGTATCCCTAGGCTTAGGTGATATCTACTACAATATAATCGTATAAAAACTTTAACAACCGCGGTCCAGCTAATTGTTAACCGTAAATCAATCTTTGTTGGTCCGACAAAGAAAGCATAAAACCTTGTACAATCAAATTGAATATGAAATACACATAGATTAAAGAAATTCAAATTCAAATTCGTTTTCAAAATCAAATTAGGGACACCCTCTAATATTGGGGGGTTTAGCTACTCATATTGTTAAAAGTAATTTTAGAATAAAAATTAGACATTACAAATTACTGGTGAACTTTGATCTTCAATTGCTTTCGCTCATGAAAAATCTATGTTCTCCAACAATTGCATATGCTTCAATCTTAATTGTAGAAACTCTCTGGTGGCAAAAAGACCCCTAATTCATCGTGAAAACTCATCTAAATAGAAAACATTCACTTAGGTCGGTTGGAAATACCAAAAACACCCTTGCATGCCAACTACTGAGCAAAATCACACAAAATACTAAAATCAGTGTTGCAGTCCAACATGGGCCGTGTCAGGTGACACGGGCACCAGTGTTGCCCTTCAGGAAAGTTGCATTTTTCTTTTCTGGTACAGAACTCCTGACACGGGCCGTGTCAGCTGACACGGGCGGCTGTGTCAGGCCCCTGACTTCTTATTTTCTTTTTTCTCGTACTGCCTTCTTCCTGACACGGCTCGTGTCAGGTGACACGGGTACCCAAGTCAGGCCTCCTGTATCATGGTATTTTGACTTCCTCGAAAATTCTGAATATTGAACTTTTTCGCCCGATTTATCCTAATTTACTCCTCAGAGCCTACAAACACTAAAATACATAACCAATGTATAAAATATGGAGAAATAGAATAAAATGCTTGACAATATAAAGAAATGATAACTCAAATCAACGGTAAATAATAGTGTAAAAATCATTGATCAAACTCCCCCAAACTTAAATTGTTGCTTGACCTCAATCGACAATTACAAGAGCTCGTGAAATTCATAGCATACCGGTACTCATACATGAGACTTCTGTTCACCTTGTTCAAGAGGTAGTCTGTTCGATGTTCACATGACATGAATAGTTTCTTTTTAGAACCTTTTAAACTCGAGCTTCCTCTTTAGATACCTCTCTAACTATGCTTTGTACTTAAGTCTCTTTCTGATTTTCCTCCTTTTTCATTCAAACAATCAAATTAAGACACTGAGAATTATGATGATCATCACTTGCACCCGACTAATCAAGAAATTTTTTATTTAGGAAGCAAATAAGCAGCATTTGCCACCTTTAATTACCAATGAAACTTTCAAACTTTACATTTATATATTATCCTTATTTGGATGACGTTTGGGGATCAACCCACTTTGGACTGAATAACCGGGTGAGGGTTACCTAACTTAGCGAGTTGGTTGCCTTTTACCTCCTTTTCATCATTTGGTGTCAGCTTTATTCATTTCTCAACCAATCATACATGCATGTGACCCTAGATTATGCCAGACTATAAAGATAAACTACTTAAGGAGTACTTCTCAGGATACAAGCACTATGGTACAAATCTACATGTTAGACTCATATCACTATCACATTATTTCGAACTTCCTACCCTCAAACAATCTTCTATTCATCTCTATATACTTTCCCATTCTCTTTGAATTACAAGCTCTTGTGCAAAACAAATATTTTTTGTCAAAATTTAGGAGAACTTCAACGTGTGGTTCTACAAAGAAAATAGCATAAAACAAACAAATAAACCGCAAAACAAAACAGTAAATCCCCCCCCCCCCCCCCCCCCAAAACTTGAATTAAACATTGGCCCCAATGTTTCAGAACAAGATCGAGAAGGCCGACTCACAGAGGGTAGTGCAACACCAACTGCTACCTCCTAGATTTCACAAATAAAGACCCCTTTTTATTACCTAAAAACAAACAAAACAAAAAGGAAAACTAAGTTATTAAAAGTGTGGTTTGCCTCCCACGAAGAACTTCGTTTAACATCGCATGGCTAGATAGTTCATTCCCCTTGTTAGGGTGGCATGTATGACACAAAGAACACATCATCTTTTTTATTTATTTTGTTTGGTAGCAATCCCATAAACTTAAAGTACTGATGATGTTGCTTCCAAATCATTTTCATCTTGATTTTATTAGACACATCATAAATGACATCCAATACTTTGTCAATTTCTTGTCTTTCATCTGCCTGCCTTGTTGTGAAAATAGTTTTTAGGGATACACTTTTGTTGAAGATTTTCTTGTTGGATATCCACATCTTCACAAATTGTTAAATTTGTAGTCTCATCCAAAACTAGATCATCTTCAAGTTGCCTTGTTTCCTCTTCCCCATATTTCTTGTTTACCTTAAATTCTTCTATTCTTAGTGCATCTTTTTTATCTGATGTTATGCATTCTTCTTCTGGTTTCACACATTCTTCTTCCAACTTTACCTCTCGCCAAATATACCTATCTGGATAACAGTTAGCCTCCTTACATTCATTCATAAGAATTCTTACCTCCCTCTTATATGCCTTAAAAATTTTAGTCGTCTCTTCCAAAGTGATTCTCAAATCAGGCGACCAACATCCAGGAGATATAGGTGCAAAGTATAAAAACAATACAAGGCTGCAAAACCCAGACACTTTATTAGCAGCAAAGATAGAAGAACTCATGAAGCAATAATAATTTGACCATTTTTTTCTTTTTTATAATATAATAAAATTCAAATTAAAAAAATTGAAACAAAATTTTAGTTGACGAGCAACAAAATTTTAATTGAACCAAAATTAAAACTCTATATTTTGACAATCCCCGGCAACAGTGCCAAAAAATTGATCGGAAAATTAGCAAGTGTACTAATTTGTCAATATAGTAATAATAGGAAATACCAAAGTATCAATCTCAAGGATCACGTATCAGTATCGAGTTTAATTTGTGGTACAATTAAACAAAAACTTAAATTGGGGTTTTGTTTGGAAATTCTCACTTAGCAGTAAGTAAAAATAAGCAGAAATATAAATTGGCTTTTTCATAGATATGAGTAACATGCTACGGTAAAGTGTATAATTTGTCCTGTAACAATCTTGGATCCTGATTTCTTCAACAAGTTCATAATACCAATTACCATCTCTTTAGGTTATTTCCCCCTAAGTCCTTAGTGGGAAAACCTTTGAACATTCATCCTAAATCCTAAGTCCTTAGCGAATTATGGTGAAATCAAGCCTTTGTTTTATCAAGAGTTAAATGGTAACTATAGGCTATCCCTAGGCATAGGTGATATCTACTACAGTCTAATCATACAAAAACCTTAATAATCGTGGTTCAACTGATTGTTAACCATAAACCAATCTTTGTTGGTCTGACAAAGAAAGCGTAAAAACCTTGTACAATCAAATTGAATATGAAAAACACGCAGATTAAAGAAATTTGAACTCAAAGTCGTTTACAGAATCAAATCAGGGAAACCACTTAACATTGGAGGGTTTAGCTACTCATATTGTTCAAAGTAATTTCAGAAAAAAAATTAGACATTACAAATTACTGGTGAACTTTGATCTTCAATTGCTTCCTCTCATGAAAAGTCTATGTTCTACAACAATTTCATATACGTTAGTCAAAGTCAGAAAATAACTTCCAAGTGGCATGTAATGTGATGATGTGGATATAACACTAAATATAGAAACCAAAATGAATTGTAATGTTTTGAAAACACAATCTCAAATGAGCGAAGGTGATTTAAAAAGAGAACTCAACGATTGAATAAACTATTGAAGGCATAGAGGCTGGTGATATCAAGGAAGTGAAAGATTGAAGACGAAATTTCTAATATAGGTTAGTAATGTTTACATGTATTCATAACTGTATTAGGGAAAATTTAGGGCTTTGTGTAGATTTAGGACATTTCATGTATTGGAGATTTGTGTTGTTGTTCTTTAACTTTATTAGGGAAACATTTAGTGACTTCTATAGATTTAGTGTTTTTCATGTTGTAGGGCTTTGTGTTTTTTCTGTAACTGTATTAGGGCAAAATGTATTGATGTAATCTATTTGAATAGGTAAAATTGACAAATATTTGAAACTCGGAATTCATCATAGTGGTGAATTCATTGATCCTAACTTAAGTGTGAATTCATTTGGTCCCTTTATTTTAGACCAACAAAAGGTATGTAAACATGATTATTTACTCTTATGTAAACATGATTATTTCCTCTTATGTCAGTCTAAAAGCATGTGTTTTACCTTGTAAATGGATCAAACCTTTGGGTTAAAACACCAGATGTGCAGCCACCTAAGTATATAAAAAATGTCTGGTAGACCAAAGAAAATGAGGAACCTTGAACACGGAGAGATTGATGAGACTAATCGCAAAATGAGAAGAACATGTTTCATTGTCAAGTGCAGTACGTGCAAGAAATTATAACACACCAAATCCACTTGTAAGGTTACACCAACAAGTCAAGATTTAAAGCAACCAACTCAAGCTTCACAATAAGCAACTCAAGTTTAAAAACATGAAACTCAAGCTTCACAAAATCAAGGAAATAGGTCAACTACTCAACCAACTTAGTAATCAAAGGGAAAGGCAACTCAACAAGCTCAAGGAAATATGCCAACTACTCAACTAGCTCAGTCATCAAAGGGAAAGACAACTCAACAAACTCAAGGAAATAGGACAACTACTCAACTGTCTCAGTCATCAAAGGCATATAAGCTAGGTGTTAGAAGACCCTTTGTACCCCGGAACCAACACCTAGTTTAAATTAGCCTTGTCTAATTAATGGGTTTACTTTTATTTTGGACCACTTTGGTTGTATTTTGAACCATTTTAGTTGTATTTTGAACCATTTTGGTTGTATGGTGAATCATTTTAGAATGATCTAATGTTTATTTAACATGCGTATGGAACATGTCAATATCCCCTAACAATTATGTAATATCTTGTGAACATATGCAAATTTGTTTATCGCCAATTCAGTTATGTGTTATGCAAATCTGTTTAATGTAAATATCATTTCAGTAACGGTTTATGAACATAGGTTCAATTCTGGTATGCCACAATCAGTTCATGCCAAAATTTCATTGAGACTGGCATGCCAAAAATGCATACAGGTATGCCAATTTAATGCAATTGTAGAACTGGTTAAAATCAGTTCAGTAGGAATAGATTTGTTAGAATATAAACAAAATTACAAGCTAATATGTAAACAAACTTACAAGATGATATGTAAACAAACTTCAGTAGTAATCAACTTAACACGATATAAATTTGCCAATATTTCACTGATACAAACCAACTGATACATAACAATACATTCAACTGGTATATACATCACAATCAACTGATGAAATTCGAGTGATACATCCCAAATATTCTACTTGGTACAGTCAGTACATACTCCTAAAATATTCTAAAATCCAATACAAAGAAAATTACAAAACAAATAATATTAAAAAAAACTAAAATTTGTTTTGGGATGATTCCTTAAATATTAACATTTCTTCATCCTCTCTAAATCATGTGTCTGCGTCAATCCAACAGGAAGATGTAGAGCAACAATGGTCATTGGTGGGTGTTTATGGCTTCCCTGAGGAGCATAAAAAGAGGGAGACTTGTGATTTAATTTAGGAGATTTCTAAGGATGTGGTTAACTGTTGGTTATACATAAGTGATTTTAATGATATCATGCAATCTAGTGACAAATTAGGGGGCATAGCTAGATCAAACACCCAGTTCTCTTAGAGCAGAATATCGATTGAGAGTTGTGGTCTTTTGGAACTTGGATTTATGGGATATCCTTTCACGTGGACTAACGGAAGACAAGGTTAGAGAAATATTCAATGTAGACTTGACAGAGGTTTTGCGAATTTTGAGTTTCTTAATTTTTCTCAGCAAATTTTGTCCATCATTTACAGCAATATAGTTTTGATCATGTTGCTTTACGTGTTGAGATGATGAGTTCAGTTGAGACCTTTGATGATATAAGGAAGTTTATCTTTCATTTTGAGGAAGTTTGGTCGAAGGATTTGAGGTGTGAAGAATTGATCTGGCAAAATTGGAATGGTACTAATAGAGGGTTCTATTAGAAAATTAAGGCCATGAAGAGTATGCAGTTGGAGTTTCGTGAGTAAAGAATAAGCTTTGTTGCTAAGGAGCTAAAACGAATTGAAGAAATGCTTAAGCGGGATGAATATTAGTATGCTAAAGAAGAGAACATGAGGAAGTATAAGGCTCTTGAGCGACAAAGGAACAATCTGCTTAGGGTTGAGGAGACATTGTGGAGGCAAAGAAGTAGAGCTTAATGGATTAAAGATGGTGATTGCAATACTAAATTTTTCCATGGAAAGGCAGATCAAAGGAGAAGAACGAATGCAATTAAAAGTCTTAAGGACTTTGTGGGTGCTTAGAAAAGTGGTCAGCAACAATGTGAAAAGATTCTTGTTGAGTAAATCCAAGGTATATTTACTTCCTCCTCACCATCTGATATTCCTAAGGCATGTGCCATTGTTGCTAACAAGTTATCTGAGGAGCATAAAATATGGTGTGATGCTATGTTTTCTAAGGGTGAGATGAAGAAGGTGTTGTCTCACATGTATCCTACAAAAGCTTTGGGGCCTAATGGTCTTCCAGCTTTATTTTTCTAAAAGTATTAGCACATAGTTGAAAGAGATGTTTGCAAGCATGTTTTGGATATTCTTAACAACTAGGTCAATCCTAGTCCTCTGAATAAAACTTATATTGCTCTTATTCTGAAGAAGAAGAAGAAGAAGAAGAAGAAACCTAGTTGCCCATAGGAATTCATACCAATAAGCTTGTGCAATGTTACTATGAAATTGTTTACAAAGATGATTGCCAATAGAATTAAAAGCATATTGCCTGGAATTATTAATGAAGAACATAGTGCATTTGTCAAAGGTAGGTTAATTACTGACAATGCACTTTTGGCTATGTAATTTTTCATTGGTTGAAGAAAAAGGACAAAGGGAATAAAGGGGAAATGGCTTTGAAGTTGGATATGTTGAAAGCTTATGATAGGTTAGAGTATGAATTTGTCACCAGTACCCTGGCTGCCATGGGTTTCCATATTTCTATGGTGAATCTCATTGGGCGAAGCATCTCTACTGTGAATTACCAAATTCTTGTCAATGGAAATCCAAGCAAGGGTTTTATTCCTGCGAGGGGTCTCTTCCAAGGGGATCCCCTTTCACCTTACTTGTTTGTTATATGTGCAAATGTGCTCTCTGGGATGCTGAAGTGGAAGAACAAGAATTATAACCTTCATGGGCTTAGGATTTCTAGAAAGGGACCAATCATCTCTCATTTGTTCTTTGCAGATGATAGTCTTTTGTTTGCTAGGGCCACAACTCCAGAAACAAATCAAATTTTTCATATTCTCCATAGATATTAGGCATCATCAGGTCAGGTTGTTAATCTGAATAAATCTGAAGTTTCTTTTAGAAAAAAAGTGAGTGTTGAGGCGAGGAATTTGGTATGCAACAGGCTGGGGGTTCTAAGTGTGGACAATCACTCAAAATACTTGAGACCCCCAGTTGAGTTTGGAAGATCCAAGAAAGAAATTTTTTCCCTTCTTGTGGAGCGAGTTTGGAAGAAGATAAAGGGATAGAAGGAGAAATTCCTCTTAATGGCTAGTAAAGAAGTATTGATCAAGGTGGTGGCTCAGGCGATTCCAAGTTATATCATGAGTTGTTACAATCTGCCTGAAGGAATCTATAAGGAAATTGAATCAATGCTTGCAAAATTCTGGTGGGGTGCTAACATGGATCAAACAAAGTTCATTGGATGAGTTGGGAACGTCTCTTAGTTGCTAAAGGTTTGGGGGCATGCGATTCTGTGGAATTGGTGATTTCAATGTCATCCTTTTAGAGAAACAATATTGGAGATTGCTTTAAGGTGGGAATTCTTTGTTTGTTAAAGTCTTCAAATGTAAGTATTTTCCGATAAGTGGCCTGATGGAAGCAAACCCGAGATTCTCGCCTAGCTACACATGGAGGAGCATCATAAGCGCGAAGGATTTGAGAGTCCAAGGTTCTAGATAGAGGGTTGGTGATGTATATAAGGTGAGAATTTGGATATACAACTGGATTCATTTCAGTCCAGGATTTAAACCTCTAATCCATAAGGGGAATGTGGATGCTGACAAGCTGGATTCCTCGTTAATTGATCGTGATTTGGGATGTTGGGATAGGCAGGCTCTTAGTGAAACTTTGGATCCTCAAGACGTATTTGTTGTACCCCAAAATTTGCCCTCCCATATTTCTCAAAACATTTCAAGAAAGATCCCTAAGTTGCTCAAGGTAGTCCAAGGGTTGGCCAGACAAGCTCTCTCCTAAGGCAGTCTATCTCAAATTAGGGTTTCATATTGCATCAAGATACTTGAGTCCAAGTGATCCCAAATGATCACCAATGTCCTAATATGTTATCAAGATCATCCATGTCAAGTTTCAAACCTTGCAGAGGAAGTTTGCTCAGTCAATTGCTCAAAGGCCTGAAAATCGACTATGCTAGGGCAAAAGTCAATTGTGGCCCTCATACAGTCAAACTTCAAGATTTTTAGTCAACATTCTCATTTTGAAGGATATTTCATCATTTGATCAAAGGTTGATCATGATTCATCAAGGATTGCTCATAATTCCTCAAGACTCAAAAGTTGCTAAATTAGGGTTTTGTAGGAAAAGTCAACTCAATTTTGACCAAGCATAACTTTCTCATACTTTATGAGAAATGACCCATCCAAATCTCATTTTGAAGAGGATGCAATTCCCTACAATCCATCTTCATCTACCAAGTTCAAAATATGCACTCACAAGAAGTTATGAATTTGGACATTATAGGTCATTTTGGAAAGTCAACAAAAACACCTTTTTTGTCAAAGCTTCATACATGAGCATGGAATATAAAATTGAGATGAGACCAAAAGTTTTGATTATAGGAAATCTCAAGATTTCTAAGAAGTCTAAGAACACCTCCAAAGAGTCAAAATTGAGGAAGTTATGCATTGGTGAAGTTGACCTTTTTTGCAAAATTGCCAAAAGTCAACTATGCCTAAAACTTCAAATTTTGCCAAATGAGCCCAATCTTTTTCACTTTTTTTAAGTTGGAAACATAGTCCACGAGCTCTAGCCCTTGCCACTTGTCATTATCATGTTTTTATTATTTATTTTGATTTTTATTTGATTTAAATCAATTTAAATCAAAATAAATCATATAAAATCCAAAGTATTGAAAACTAAAGATTTTTTACATGATTCAGGTCTTGAATTACAGCTAGCAAGTATTCAAATTCGTATCAAGGCATGGTGTGAACAAAAAGATTGAAATAGGCCAATTTTGGAAAGTTTTCAAAGTGAATCAAATCAAGAATCCAATTCATTGATGGAGGAAGATTGATATCAGTTATCAACCCTAATCCCTTCCTTGATACATATAGAGGGCGTGCAGACTCAAAACTAGGTTAGAAACAGGCGCAAGAGACAGAACAAAAACTTGAAAAATCAAGAAAAAATGGTGAATCGAATTTGCACTTAGAGGCCAATACAAGACTTTTTGCCTATCCAAATCGATTCCTGGGAGTCTCAGCAAGATAAAGCAATCGAAACCAAGCATTTTCAAGCCCTGTATCACACTGTAAGTCCATCACGACCTTGCTTGTTTCTTGAAATCGGTTAGCACGATTTAGGCATTGTTATGATGAATTAACCACATATTCTTGATCTATGGAACATATGCAAGCTTTTTGTGTTGCTTAATTTTATTTACATAGCCTGTATTGGAATGTGCCATTGTTAGGGTTACATAGCTCGCTTTGGGGTTTTTGAATCCAGGCGAAATTGGGCCATGAAAGGGTCACCAATAAACTCAGCAGGACCAGATGAATCTAACCATGGCTTTGGTTTCTATTTATCATGTTTGTGTTTGATTTTAAGAATGGCATGGGTTATAGCTACAGAGAACGTCCGTAGGTAAAAGTGTTCCACTTTTACCAACGGATCCAAGGAAGGAGATGATTTGCTGGCACCTTCCCATTGGGTCTTTAAAATTTTCGCGCGCTGAATTATTGTGTTTGATCTTTTCATATTTTGATTAATATTTTGTATTATATGAACAAATAAAATAGCCAACGCAGATGGTAATGGAGTACATGCAAAATGCCTCAGGACCTGGGTTCGAATCCCAAGTCCACCAATTTCTCCATATTATTTTCTTTTTCAGAATCACATGCGTTTACAAGTCCAGGTCCACCATGGGACTCCCTCATCCAGCCTGCCACATGTCTTGAGATCCAGATCCAAGGGTCATCATCTGGAGGAACACCATAAGCCACAGTCAACATGCAATATTGGATCCAAAAATTCAAGTGTGGACCTCTCCTTTTGGGCCCAGATTTGGATATTTACACCTTCCAGAATTGCTTTTGCAGGCCCAATTCCTCATCCCTTTTTCTCTTTTTATTTTATTTTAATTTATTTATTTAATTACTTATTTACTAACCAATCAAATTATTTTCTTTTTATCAAAAAAATCACAAAAAATATTATTTTTCATAAATTAGGTCTAGATTTTATTTTATTAAAAAAAATTAATTAATTAATTAGGTTTGTTAATTTAGAAAACTCTAATTATTTTGTAAATAAATTAAAAATAATTAGAATAATTAGGTTTTTATTCCAAATTTAATTTTTCTTTTTTTCCTAAAATAACCAAAAAAACAAAAAATAGGTCATGTAATTATTTTTATTAATTAATTTAATCACTAATTAATTTGTACATTTATTTTTAAAACCTAATCTTTCTTCTTAAAAAATATTAATAACCAACAAAAAACAAGTTTTTCTTTTAATTAGGATAGAAGGGTCAAAACCCTAGGTCGCATTCGATCTAATTTGTAATCGCACACTTTATTTTATTTTTTATCCTAATTATTGTAACTGCCTACAGTTTGTAATAGTTTAATTAGGATGTTTATTTACTTTTATCGCTTTATTTTCAAAGGGTTTGTTTTTGGCTATGTAAATACCCGAAGCCTTGTAATAGCGTAGTTTAATTTCCGCACTTTAAATTCCGCAAAATATTAACTGTTAAATGTATGATATTAGGGATGCATGACAAGAATGTATGAGTGGTTTTAAAACAGTTAGATAACCTTAAAATGTGCAAAGATAAATAATCTGAAATAGAATCACTCGCACATGCGCACTCCTAGGGTACACTCCCACTTGGTTGCCTTCAGTAAACGGTCATTGAGTATAGGATGCTTTAGTGGTCTTCCTTTTGTCCAAAGATCAAAGTTGCCTCGGAAAGGTTGCCTCAGATATTGTTGCCTCGGATAACTGATCTAAGACATTAGGGTTACTACTAAGACATCCTAACGTTGCTTTAGTGATCGAACGTCCCTTTCGAATTGACCCTCAAAACTCCAACGACGGTGCTACCTACTCACTAATAGTGGGATAGCGCTATCTAAAGGAAACAAATACAAAACGATTATTTTTTCGAGTAGGTAGATTAGTTCTTAAGTACTTGTTCAATCAAAACAAACTTTTTCACACTTACACTCCTTTTCAAACAAAGTTTTCAAAAACACTTCATTACACTCTTGAAGACAGAAGCAAGAGTTAAATCAAAG